ATATATATATATATATATATATATATATATAATTATTATTATTATACCCTATAAGGTTTTAAGATGGCAGATGAATGATTAGAAATTGGCATTTGTCTCATGATTCATCAGAAAATGTCATCATAATTCATCACAATTCACATTTCTTCCTTGTGATACAATCTTTATTGACAAATAAAAATACCCATTATGAGCATCTGTACAGATTACAGTAAACACACAGAAACTGTGGACCCGTTGGCATCTCAGAACAGGTAAGAGACAGTTAATCTGACTCACAAACCTGTAAATCTATTAAAACACTCCTCAGGCCTAATGCAGTTTACAGTTCACGCCTCACAAAGTATCAGAATTCATTGTGAAAACCCGAGATATTAGACTGTACATCTCGTGTGGCAAATAACTTCACCATAACACTCCTGTTTGTTGTTTTACTAAAGGACATAGTCCAAATGTTTTAGGAAATGTACATTTAGTTAGTTTTGCTGTTGACACTTCACATCTCAGTGTAATCTAAAGGAAAGTGTTATTTGTACATCCGCTCAATCCAAATGAACGACTGGCACTGACCTGTTCGTTTTCACACACAAACTAAACATGAGCTGGAGGGACGTGTTGGGGTTCAGTGTGATTACAGCAGATCTGAGATCAGCCCACTCACAGCCATAATTTTTTAATAAGGAAAATGAAGACTATTTCAGTGACCACTTAGATTTTTTCTTTGTGATCTTAGTTTCCATTTTTAATTGTTATACTTATTAGATGTTAATTACTGTAATACAGTATTTACAGTACAAAATATTTTTTAAATTAAATAAGCATGAATTAAGGGCAATAAAACAAATAATACCACAATGTATAAATACAATATAATTTAAATAATACATCATTCATTGTGCACTATAGTAATAACAATATAGGAAAATGTGTCATAAAAATTCGAAAGGTCTTGAAAAAAGGCTGCTTTATCTTTAATTTTATATATATATATAATTAAAATGTCTGTACTGAAATATGACCTGTGCATGTTCTTGACCAGTTTCATGAGATTTACCCGTTAGCATTTCTTTTTTTTCTCTGACAAAATTCACAGTTCTGTTCTCTTTTCAAAATCACCTAAAGAAAGACCTCATAGAAAGAGTTAAGAGCAGAAAAGATTAATACTTTTGCATTTTAGTTACAAACCATCATACATCATTTGTCATTTTCAGTCTTTTAGTATATTTACAAATGTTTGTTTTTTAATCAAAGCATAAAATGAGATTACGACCCTCCTGCTCACCAATTCCCAGAAATCTCATCGACCAGAATCTCTGATGCTTTCAGGAATCCAGTTATCCGGTCAGGAAAACCTGTAAATCTATTAAAACACTCCTCAGGCCTAATGCAGTTTACAGTTCACGCCTCACAAAGTATCAGAATTCATTGTGAAAACCCGAGATATTAGACTGTACATCTCGTGTGGCAAATAACTTCACCATAACACTCCTGTTTGTTGTTTTACTAAAGGACATAGTCCAAATGTTTTAGGAAATGTACATTTAGTTAGTTTTGCTGTTGACACTTCACATCTCAGTGTAATCTAAAGGAAAGTGTTATTTGTACATCCGCTCAATCCAAATGAACGACTGGCACTGACCTGTTCGTTTTCACACACAAACTAAACATGAGCTGGAGGGACGTGTTGGGGTTCAGTGTGATTACAGCAGATCTGAGATCAGCCCACTCACAGCCACTGGAGAGATGCATTCAGAGCAGCAGCCATCAACAAATGTGCATCAGTGTTTCAAACAAAAAACAATGACAGTACAATGTGTTGTTAAACGTTTTAAAAAAGGAAAAAGGCACCCAATCCTCACATCTGACAGATATTCAAGGCTTTGCTAATGCCAAAGATTCATTTGGGTTAATCTCACAAAACATTTACAGCTCATATTTCATTTTATATATGTATATATATATTTTTAAATGTAATTTTTTTATGTAGCCTTTTTAATGACCATTTCAATTTTTTTATATTGTGATCTATAAAGATATAAATAGATAGATTTTTTTGCATCAAGAAAATGAAAAAAACGTCCCAAAGGTGCCTAAGAGGTGCTGTGAGGGTCATAAAGGCCCTGGAGATGTGTGTGGGTGGTTCATGTAGACGTGTGTGTGTTGTACTGAGTGTGTGTGTGTCCTATCTGCGTGCGGCTGACGCCGGAGCGCTGAAGAACGGTGTGAGGGTGCTGGGAGATGTCTGGGGCAGGAGCAGGTTGCCGTTGGTGGTGCTGGAGGGGCGACTGATCCGCAGGCGTCTCAGGTATTCGGCGTGAACGGGTTTGTGGCTCTGCAGGACCTTGATGGCCTCATCGACGGGAAACCACTCGCGCTTCCGGCCTACGGGACAAACACTGCAACATGAGCAAAATACACTGCAAAGACTGTAAATATTAGAATATTATGAATAAATATATTGTGGGGTCTTAAAACTTTCTTAAAACATGGATCATCATCATGCAATAGTGTTTTATTATTGAATTAAATACGTTTTAAAATTAAATTAAATACAATTAAATCATAAAATGGAATAAAATAAAATGTAAAAAAATAATAATTTAAATTAAGGGGGTTAAATTTTTAAGGAGATTTTCTTTTTATCTTTCATATTTTGAAATTTGAATTTTGAATTGAGTTTAAAGGGGAGGATGGGAAAGCACTTAAAAATAATGTATAAGTTTTTGAGATTTTCTTGTAATCTTTCATATTTTTGCAATAACGATAAGGTTGAATTGAATTGAAGTGGGAGGGCAGTTAAAAGAAAATTACATTTTGTTATCCTTTATATTTTTGCAATAAAGATATGATTTAAATTAAATTAAAAAATCAAATTAAATAAATGTAAATTTTAAAAATTAATTTATTTTTAGGGAGCAGGAAATTATGGGAAAGCAGTTAAAAATATATGTATATTGAGTTTTTTTTTTTTTTTTTGGAAATGTTCTTATCTTTCACATTTTTGCAATAATTATATGTTTTCAATTAAATTATAAAATTAAATTAAATTACATAAAAATATAAATTAAGGGAGCAGGGAAAGGATGGGAAGGCCATTAAATATATATGTCTATTTTCTTGTTTTCTTAAACATATAGTTAAATTGAATTGAATTGAACTGAACTTAATTTTATTTTATTAATGGGGATAAGAAGGCAGTTGAAAAATATATCCTGTATAGATCCTGTTATCATTTATATTTTTGCAATAAATATATGAATTAAATTAAATTAAAAAATAATTAAATTTAAAAACACATGCAAATAGAGGCATTTTCACTTGTGGTCTCAGACTTATAGACTCAACAGCATGAAACCAGTGTGTGTGTGTGTGTGTGTGTGTGTGTGTGTGTGCGCGTGTGTGTGTATAATATACATGCAGTCAGGAAATAGCTGAACAATCATGAGACCCCGAGGGCTAAATACCTTCAGATCCATCACAAAAGAAGCAGCACACAAACACACACAAACTCACCAATATTGACCGAGTCCTCCCAGGCATCCAGCGTCTCTGTGACCGTCAGAACATACACGTACGTCCGGTGTTTCCGGTCCTGGTTCTGCTGTTGTTGAAAAATAAACTCTTTCAGTAAGAGGGACTGTAATCGCCTCATCTCATGATACATCCATTCAGGAGTCTCAACCGTCCAATCAGGAGAGAGAGAAGAGCCTTACCTCAAACACACCGAGCAAACGTCCTAATTTACCCTTCACTCCAGCCTGAGGGAGAGAGAGAGAGAAGGAGAGAGATCAAATCCACAACAATCTTTCATTTAGCCATGAGACTCCCAAAGTCAAGTAAATAACACCAGTAAAACCCTGACTGCTAGAAATGATGTTAAAAGACAATGTGGCACCTCCTCAAAGACCTCCCGTACAGCAGCTCCACACGGCTCCTCCTCCGGCTCCATCCCTCCTCCAGGAACAATCCACTGATCCGGGTTTCGACTGCTGCTGACCAACAGCACCTGCAGAAACCAGCGCAGAACTGATTCAGTCAACTTTTCACCATAGCCTGTATGAATGGCAGTGGTTATAGCACAGGATTATTGTGATTTATTGGTGGTTTGTCACAGATACTTCATCAAAACACACCAATCATTTATTGAGATTAATGAAAATTATTTTGACGCAAATTTCGCAATCTAAAGGGTTGCACACAAGCCTACTGTATTTGTACTTGTATTTGTAATACTTTAGAGTCTGGCTCAGTGTTGTTTTATATGTATATATATAATAGTTTTAATTAATATTTTGGATTAGTTCTTATTTTTATATTTTATAAATATAATTTTCATAAATATATTAAATGTATTATCATTTTAATTTTAGTTTTAGTAATTTTGTTGTGTCACTTTTATTCTTTTTTTTCAATTTCTATATAGTTTTTTTTATTGATTTAAATGTATTAATTTTGTTATTTTATTACATTAAGTTAAATGAGAATGTTTCCTTGGAATAAAGGCTGGAATAAAGTAAGTTTAAGGTTT